AACCTTCCAGCAAAGTAAAGAAAAACACAATACATAAAAAAAAAATCTTCAGACGATCAACACATTGGAAATTCATTTTACAGAAGAAAACATATAAACAGCAGAGAAGAAAGAAAACTAAAAGGAATCTTTGCCCTATTGTGGAGTATTGGATCTGAATTCTTTTTCATTTTTAATATTCACAGCAAAAAAAGAGAAAAAAAGATCTTAAGACCAAGATGCAGAAGACTAAAAAGTCGATCTGAAATGAGCAGAAGACTTCAGCGCTGATCTAAAAACCAAAGTGTATAATCAATGAATAATGAAGATGTTATAATTATGAAATAAACAAGAGAGTTTGGCTCAGCAGGTTATAATAACAAAAAGAGAATAGATAGAAAGCCTACCTGTGTCCTGGGCTTGCTGTGAAACTCCAAAGGAGGGATCTCCAAAAAGAGACCCTTCCCCACTGGTAGTCAGCTCCTAATTGGGTCTAAAAGAGGTGCAGCCAGGCTCCACCCCTTCCAGCAGCATGGTGAATTGCCTGCACCTGTGCTCCCAGGGCTGACTCAGTGCTCGCCTCAGGTGATCAATCAGAGGTTCAGGCCGTGATTCAGCAGTGCCCATACCCAAAGAAAACCTGCAGTTTCTTGTGCTGCTCTCTAATTTAATACTTCACTACTGCACTGTTATGCTTTGGTGCTATTGAATGATTGGAGATAACAAAAGCAGTCTTTGGTATTCATATCCTGTTGTTACACATTGTAAGAAGAAAGAACATTTCTAGTGATCAGCTGTGTTATAATTAAGGTCTGTGGTCATCAGCTGAAATCAGCAGCAGCTGTGGTCACCAGCAGTTGAAAAGGGAAGAGGTATCAGTTCTGAAAACTATATTATAGGTAAAAAGACAAAACTATGCATAAGCAAAAGAAACCAAATTGAAAAAGATTGCCTCTTCTGCCAAACTTGGAGAGAGATGGGGAAGGGAGCAAGAATGCAGGAACGTTATTTGAAAAATTTAAATGTGTGGGTTTTTTTTATTAACATGATGCAAATCATAAAGATTCAGGTTTCCTATTCTCCCCTCTCTTGACTAAAAAACATAATTGGGGGTGTGTGGAATCAAAATAATTGATCCTGGTTGGTAATATTCTTCAGTTTGACAATAAGCATTTAATGCAAGCAACCATAGTATGCATTTGCTGCTCACTGATACATAAAAGCTCCCAGCAAAACAATAAGTCATAAAGCGTTTAACAGTTTACATTTTTGTCATTTTTTGTTAATGAATAAGACCTACAGCAGTCTCCATTAGGTTGTTACAACACTGTTACAAGTGGCTGCAATGCATTTGTGATGTGGAATTCTGATAACAAAAATCATAAAACCATGATAGTGCTCCACTCTCACTGTCACCACAGCTGAAATGCACCACTCACAGCCTCACTGCACTGACACCACTGTTCAGTCTCCATAAGTGTTCACAAGCACTGATAAGTGTCACTGGGGGCCCTTTTTTCCACATGGAGGAATTCAGCTCCACCCTTCGCTCCCCCCACGCTTCCATGTCAGGCGCCATTCTGTCCCAGTGCCCCTCTGCTGCCATCTGTCACACAGCAACAACCTGTCATGGAATGTTGGTGGGCAGGTTCAGCCTCTGCTGCCATCCCACCAACAGCTACCACTGACATCACAAAATAGAAGGCATTATTTTCAGAGCAGCCCCCATATTCTTTCTTTGTCAGCTTCTAAATACCTCCCAGTTACCACAGGGAACAAAGGATCTCAAATGTCCTCCCATCTGAACTGCAAAACCTATGACTTCTGAGTTGTGCCAGAATTCAAGTTGTGTTAGGATGAGAACTTGAAGATTTACTGAGGGAAGAGGTAGAAACAGTTTCACCAACTGGAAAAAGAGGAAAAAATATTTTTGAACGAGAGCAGCTTCAGAATAGGGTTTAAAGAAAAAGAAGCTGACTTACACGTGTTCTTCAGAATCAGAAGGAAATACACTTGAAAATTATTTCTAGGTATCTTTGGTTTAACTTTTTTTGTCCCCAACAGTCTAATTTCAAACACTTATACGGACACAAATGATGTGAAGAAGTGGTTTGAATATGATTAGAGAGAATGCCCTCAGCATGAGGACGACAGATAAATAAGTTTTATTCAAATTTGGACTTGAATATCCCCAGGCTCAAGGAAACGAGAGGAGAAATGCTCTGTAATGAGCAAAGGAAATTCTACCCACTCAGCCCCAGTCCGTGCGCCCACTCAGGCGCTCCTCGAGGAGCTGCACAGCTCTCCTGCTCACAGCCTCTCACCAGCTCTGCTCCACCTCACTGTCAGAGTGAGATCGCCGTCTCTTCCGCCTTCCCGTTAGCAGCACACAGCAGTCTGGCCAAGCCATCCTACCTACTCCTCTCACATTTCTCACCAACTTCAGTTAGCCCTCTTCACAGACCAAGAGATAACCGGTTACATAAAATAAGGTGAATAAATTCTGTTACCGCATAGTAATTACATAAATTGTACTATAAAACACTTCCAACAGCCACAGGCTTGAAGGAGGATTTTCCGTTGGTGAAAGAAGGTTTTTAAAACCAAAAGCTATGGCAAGGATCTGAATGAAAATCCAAATCCTCAGTGGTTTAATTTTTTTCCTGCAAATGTTTGGAATATTGAAGCAAAAAAAAAAAAATCAAAGAAAAACATTTACATGCTTCAAACATTTTTTAAAAATTAACACTGTCTAATGAGCACTATTTACTATATAATATTTTCACATTATGTAAATATGTGCAAATTCCCCTTGCAGCACGGATGTGGGGACACAATAGAGAAGACTGATCCATCAAAACGCGTATCACAGATCGGAGCAGAGTTACTCGTGTGAAGGCGCTGTGAATCGCCTACAGCAGAAGAGAAAGTACTTTCTTCCAGACAGTGAGCTCTAGAGCGTTCTCCACATGGCACCACTCCCTACGGAATCATCCCAGCAAGGGGAACCAAACTCCACTCATTTTTCCAATGATATTTCCAATGTTATTCTGATTAAATGCAGATCCCATAAAGTTAATGAGAAGTTATGAACAAACAAGCTCCATTTTTTTTCTTTTAAAAGATAGATAATGCAAATACTCCCACGTGGGAGTTCCATTTTCATTAGCGAAGACCTCACTCACCATTTATCTTCTGAACTATTTGAAGATGTGCAGAGGCTGTTGTGAACTGCAGCAGCCAGATCAGAGTCACAAAAGAGCACAGGACAAAGTGTTTGCTGTCTAACAGATGGAGCAATTAACCACACCAGAGAAATGCAGTAAAAGCTAAGCGAGAAGTGCTAGCAGGGAGTATGGTTTGCAAGAGCATTTAATGGGAAACTTGGCCTTTCTGGCCTTTTTTGTATTTGTAAATTGATATTTTACAGTACTTTCTTTCTCTTGCTTCTTATGGCTTCTATTTCTACTACTTCAAATCCTTGTCTTACTGATGCAAACTCAAAAAAATGTGCTTATTTCTGAGCTACTAGGAAATGAAAAGTCCTCAAGGTTCTGAGCAAAAGTTCAAAACAATATTAAATATTTTAATCATTAAGCTCTAAAAATTTAACTCAGTCTCGTGTTAATGTCAATCAAGACCTTGATTTGTTTGACTTGTTTTCCTGGTCTACTGCAGCTCCTGCTAGTTTTAGCCTAGAGTCACGGAGATTAAATGCCCGGGGCACCTAATAAAACTGTTCTAAAATTGTTAACTGAGCAAACGCAATATAAAGATTCACAAAAAGTGTTTTGTGCATGCATTGTTGCAAGCAAGAGGCATAGTCTTAGAATGACTAAATTTACAAAAAAAAAAAAAAAAAAAAAGCAACTGCCTAGAGTACAACCAACAACTTATTTCAACATTTCTTAGCCAAGCAGACAATATTACAAAAATTCAACAACTTTTCAGATCATACCAGATGATCAAATTGGGTTTTCTGTGAAATTATATTCAGAAAAGTGTACTGCAATAGAGGTTATGAAGAACAGTAGCTAGCTTCAATCTGCCTTCTTGAATATGCATCCCTCCTACTACAAGCTGGCAAGTGAACTTTTCTCCCAGTGAACATATTCATGTTTCTCAATTTTCTCAGTGTTTTCTGGTATAGTTCAGTGCACATCAAGATAGGGGACACCAGCAGACAGGGAAAAGGTCATGTTCAGAGGAATTCCAAAGCATCTTGAATTTTGTTACAAACAGTGACAGTTCAGATTCCTGGAACTGGTCCTGCTAATGAGGGGAAAAAGGCAGCATGCAATCCACTTCTTAATTCTCAAAAATGATCTACCATGGCACAAAGGGCTCTCCTTTATCAGAGCAGACAGTACAACAATTGCATCCCTTAAGACAGCATTAGCAGGGAATCAAAAAAGTAGATTTAGGCTCCCAGTGTGAGGCTTCCCAATTGTTTTGGCAGTTTACTACCCAATCCTAATTGCTCCATCTCTACTATTAAGCTTTTGTATAACGTTTAATCATAAATATTTACTACCAGTATCATGTGGTATAACTAACATTTCCCCTTTTTTGCTTTTTTTTTTTTTTTTTTTTAAGAAAATGTTATATTTTCAAAAAGAAGAGACATTATTATGACTGAGAAAAATAACGATTATAGTAAGAAGTAACCAGTTATGTGCTTCTGTTGGCAAAGAACCTAAAACCAACAAAGATACTGACAGATTGACTTTCAAAAACCAGAGGATAAAAGGTATGAAAGAAGACAGTTTGAAATTCAGTCAACTGAAACATCTTTTTTTTTCTTCTCCTTTGCTGGACCAGAATCTCTTTTGGTAAAGATGTATCCAAGTAAAGTACTTTTAATTTTCAGTACTCACTCTCATACTCCTCCTTCTGTTCTATGCAGAGCATTATCACTTCTATTTTTCAATTGGATCTCTGAGGCTAAGCCCTTGTCTTCCCATAAAAACCAAGATAAATACAGACAGGAAGGAGAGAAGATGCAATTAATTCATGTTGAGTGAACAGGAGGCAAACAGGAACTGCTGGAAAGAGATCACCCCCTCAAAGAAGTCATATATTATTTGATGACAATTAATTATACCTTTCAAAACATCTATGTTCCAGCACTCTGAACAGCAGACAAGAGCATTCCATTTCAAAGAAAGCAGAACATAGCAACACTCACTCTGTAAAAGAATACATGAGAGAAAGCACATCTATGAATCACAACAGAAAGCTGCCTAGCCCTGCAGCAGCTTCTTCCAGCCAACTGGATACGTACAGGATAGAGCATGAAGGATTTTTGCATTTACTCAACTAAAAAATTCATGAGCCTGCAATATTAACACGATGCCACGTAGATTCCCAGCGACAGAGCCCTAGCCCAGCCAGGGCATTCCATTTCCAGCTGACATCTCATTACAACTTAATTGTATTTACACATCATTTGAGGCACATTAGGGCTCAATAACTAAGTTGATCAAGTATTCATTGTATGGTAAAATGTATTTCAGAGCTACGTTTTGGGGAAGAAGATGGATTTTATATACCACACGGCTTCTGAACAATTCCTATTAAGCGTATGAACAGAGTAACTTCTAGAAAACCGTGCCGGGGCAGGAAGTGCAGGGGTGAAGCTGTCTGGGCCTGAACCAGCAGAACAGGAACGCTGGAGTTCTCAGGTGGCAAACACACGAGGATACTTGAGGGGGAAGATCTTAGGATGGCTTCTCATCCGTTACTCTGCAAAGTCCATTCCTTGGGGGTCAGTACAAGTGAAAAAGTAGACCTGAGCAAAACTCCTCCTGCTAAAAGAGAAGAATCCAGGGCTCCAGCATGGTACAACATTAAAACTGTGCCAATTTATTTCTTGCTCTATTCTCCCTTTTCCCTCTAATAGTTAACTATTAACCACCCAGAAATTCTTTTAACAACAAGTGATAAGAGATCAGACCTCAATACCCATTGAGCAGAATGTTGTAAATCAAGCATGCTGCTTCTCCAAATATGAGCCCACATTGAATAAAACAGCAAGATGCACATTTCACACAAAAACTTGCTACAAGTTCCGCTAGAGGTGACTTTCAAAAAAAATCACTGATCCTTTGTGTCACAGTATTTATTCTCAAGTAATGCTACTTTTGGAGTAAAAGCGTTTGAGGCATTTCTCTCTTCATTCACAGTGACCAGAGGCATCCATGGGCAGCCTGCTAGGAGCGCAGCAGGAAGTACTCAGATACCTTTTTATTTCAGGTGGAATCTGGGTGCACAGAAAAGTTGTTCCTTTCCATACTAGCCTTGTCCTAAATTGTCAGGGATTACATCTTATTTTGGCTTGCTTTTACTACAGAATAACTGCACTTCACATGATTTCATTCCTCTTGTTTTTCAGGAATAATCAAGGTATTAACATGCTGAAATAGACCAGGGGAGCTGAAATATAACCCCACACAAGCACATGCAGTCACCCTGCTGGATAGCCAATGGCAGACCAAAATTCTGCTGCTGCTGAAACGGTCTCAAGATGATTTCATTGAAAGAAAAAGAGGTTGGTGTTTTCTTGATCAAAAAGTTAATTTTCCAGACAACAAATCCCAAAAGTAAAGAAATTGTGCACCTGAGTCCCATGATATAAATGCATTTCATAATGTATTTATAGGTAAATGAGATAGCTACTTCATTCCAGTTAAATAAAGTGTTATGTTTCAACACACAGTGTTTGCCTTCTTTTAATCATACAGCCTGATAGTTGGCAAGACAGATGCAAAGCAGTAGCGTGGATATTTTTCTTAGCCCAATCACCATTTCTGACATCTCTTCTCCATGAACTTCAAGCTCAGTAGATCAAAAATTCAAACTCAGCTTCAGTTAAGCTCATGGATGCTCCCAAGTTTTTGTGCCAGGGTGCAACAAAACCTGGAGCAACTATTTTGGTGTCTGCTTACTGGATACATAATTACTAGCAATAAGCACATGCATCTTTCCCTCCTTCTCAGATAGCAACCTTTCACACTTTATTATCACTTATTAAAGTCTCCTGCTGGCTTGATTGAAGTGTGTAGGCTGCACTACACTTACCTGCAAATAAAGAAACAAATGAAGGTGCTTTAAGTTACTTCAGAAGCTCTCCCTGTTATTACATGCCTCTTTTTCATATTATGCATTCCACACTTTGCTTTTGTGTTTCAGTTACAATGTTGTTTCTTGGTGACATAAAAGTAAAGCTTGACTATTACTGCCCACCCTTTTCTTTTTGTGCTTTCCCTCACGGGATGCAATTTAACACACATTACTGATGTGAATTCTTCTCAAAATCTTAAATGTATGTCTAAGCCAAGCCGGTTCTTACACTTCCTACCAGTGGATGGAGGAGTTTTCACCCTTTCATACAATTTTGCTACAGAATATACATAATCGTATCTTTCTCTAGAGAGAACACGAAGCTAGTTCTCTATATAGCTGGAGTTCTGCACATAGCCAAAATCCTTCCTACAACTTCTTCAAAAACAAGATTGTTCTTACAAACTAGAAGCTGTTAAGCAGGGAAAACAAAACATCAAGTGGTTCGTTTCATCTCCTATCAATTAAGAATGCATGCATTTGGGATTTCAACCTTACCTAGCACCTGCAATGTTTGACTTCTTTAAAAGAAGTTTGCTTTCCCTGCCTTCAGGGATGCATAATGAAAGAAAAGACAAACCCAATGAGATACAGTAATGTCCAACTCCACAACAGGTTTCACCCACAGACTGCCAATTCAGTACCCACACCATCTCCCTACCCCACCTAACAACGTTATAAAAACATTTGCTTTCTTTAGTTATATTTTAAAGCTATGAGCTGGGTCAGTTCATTATATCAAAAAGCATATCACAGCTTCAGAAGGTGTAAAAACATCGCTGCCATCTGCTACCATCTATCTCCTTCAGCTCTCCTCTTGCCCTAAAATGTTTGCCTCAGGAAAAAAGTTTGTGGACAATCAACATTCTGCTGTTCCATTGCTGGAATTTTATTTTTTCCAAAACTGGCTGGATAAGCGGTCTGAAAGAGAGTCTGCTTTACAACCTGGTTTTTAACCTTCAGGAGGTTCTCCAGTAGTGAATGTCATCAGATATCAGATCATCCTTCTCCATGAACTCAAATGCAAGCGCATAAACCCAAAATGACGACTCTCCAGACTGACTTGCAACACAGTAAATTCTGCACATTAAGTTACTCACATGAATTTCTGAAAGCTTCAATTAAATGCAGGTTTCTGAATTCTGATTGCCTACTTGGAAAACTAGAAAACTCTTTTTTCCCATGCCAGCTACACAAGGAAACAAATCACACAGATGTACTGCCAGCCTGTCAGTTCTCATCCCCTCCTTCATAACTTTTGAATGAATTGGCTAATTTTGATCAAATTTGACAAAAGGACCTGGTCTCAAAGATACCAAGTTCCAAGTTTCCACGAGAACTGACAGATGAGTAGGAAAAAAAGACTGATGTGAGCCTTCTCAGTGAGGAAAATATTGCTGTGTAAGCTCAGCAATTATCTGTAATGCTTGACATACCAGCAAGCTGATCATTGTGCCACACAATCCACTCAGAAACAACCACAGGTCTTCTGCTTCTCACCAGCAAGAAAACAGAGGAATGGGCTGGAGGTACATTTAGGAATCAGTGCAGAAGCTGGGTTTTAGCAATGAGAAGGAAACAAAGAAAGGATCTGCAGCTCGAGTGGACAGAATCGAATTGGGAACCAGCCTTACATTTATCAGCTGTGATCAGATCATTTTTTTAGAGTTTGCAAAGTGTTTATAAACAATAAGCCACTATAATCCAAAGCATTAAAAAAAAAAAAAAAAGATCAGAGAATGTCAGATGCGGCACGATTTAATGATGTTGCAAACAAGTTGCTAGTTAATTCAAGTTCAAGGCCAGCGTTCCAATGCTCTTAAATCTCCCTGCACAACCATGTGCTTTTTAGCTGTGTCTACATCAGTTCTATCAGTAATTGTACAGTTGGCACCTGGGTTGTTAGGGACATATCCCAAATTATTAGCCCCTCAGTAACTGAACCTTTATAGAAGAGATTCTTGGCACATTCTGGAAATACTCTTGTCTTTCCAGGCCTTTGTTTGGGCAACCATCTCAGCCAAGAAAACAATTGGCTCTCAACCCTGTCACTCCAGGCACTCACTTTTAGTTATTTTTCTACTATGGATCCTTGATCTTTTTCAGATACTGCTCTCAAAGACACTGTTCCATTCTGTTGATGAATTACTACATTTACATCTGCTCAGATTAATAAACACTCCAGAACTGAAGGTCCATCTCTGCTACTGAGAATATTTTGTTTGAATTTTCATTCAGGCAATCATATCCCTCCCTCGTGCAGATGTTACAGAGCATAAAAGATAAGAAATCATTCCACAGAAATCTGCATTGCAGTCATCATCAGAGTAAATAAAGGATAACTGACAGGACACAGCACACCAGGCAAATTATTGTGCTCTTCATAGAGAAACGTAATGGATTTCTTTTTCTAAAGATAGTTTCTCTCCTAGATCCAGAGGCTTTTGTATTAAATTCAATATTTTTAGCTCCCAAAAAACCATCCTGAGTTAAATTGCAGCAGCTTATTACCATCAGAGTAAGAAAGCAATGATAGATCACTGTGATTCTTCTGTCCTTGTTACAGGAATCAAAGAATCCTTTACAAACAAACTGACTTGCCTCCAAAAGCAGAAATCACACAGCTCCATCTTGTGGAAAACAGGATTCCCTTTGTTCAAGTCCTACAGATCACTTCTGTCTTTATTATTGTTTTAGTTTTAGATATTTTTATCTACATGTTGTTTTTTTTTCCCAATGCAGATATTTTTCTTTAATGAGTAAATTATACAACTCCATCAAGAACAGGAGCAATCTGCCTAATGTCTTTGTTTATAGTCTTACATTTAATTCTATTTGCCTGTAAGATTTTCCCAAACAGGTTCATACTTTAACAGCTCATCTTCACAAAATCAGGTGCTACTTAATTTCCTGCATGTCCTCCCTGTATTCTGTCTCAATTCATGTAAATCAACACAGAACTTAAATGTCAATGCCAATAAAGTAACCCAAGTCATAACTTTTACCTTAGACAAACAAGATCAAGAAAAATGTCTTTCCAGACATGGTTAAGGATTCTGGAGACAGCTGTGCCATCAATCCTACCCCCCCGCTGTCCTCCCATTGTCCTTCTGGGAAGGGACAGTAAATCCAAAGTAACCACGCCACCATATGTGCTCCACAGATGGAATTATATTACAGACTGTGCTTAGAAACACAAAAGGTCTTCCAACTTCCTTCACCCTTCCTTGATAAGATTGGTGTTACATGGAGAGAGAGCTTTAAAGCCCTCAGAAAAGACAAGTTTATAGTTATCCTTCTTATCCAACTTCTCTGCCAGTTATTGTACTACTTACTACAGAAGGAAAATACCCAATTTAAGATAATGTAGTTAATGCAAACTAAGAGTTTTAGACTGAGAAAGAAACCCAGGAATTTCAAGATTTCTGAACAATAAGGGCTTCTCTTCACAGTGGTGATTACTTACCCTCTGTTGTCTCACTCTACTCTTTTCTCATTGAGGGAGTTTCATGGAAACTAAGAGAAAAGCAAGCATCAAACAAAAAATACTCAAATATTTACTCTGCTGCACATACTCATATCCTCCATAGACCACATTTGGAACAATTATTCAGCAGGCTTTGCTTTCCTATTTTGTTCACTGTTCCATATGCACAGCGACCTTGTCACCACTATCATATTTCTAAGGAACAGCAGAGAAACAGTTCTGACAGAACCCAAATGTTGTGAAATTTTCTACTTAATATCAACAAGTCTCAAACGTAAGTTCATAGCTTGTCTTGGTTCTTATGACTGAAAATAATTGCAACGTAAGGGTTGGTCAAGGTGGAAGTGAAAAATCATAAGGCATTTATATAGTGTTTATACACAGCGTTCTACTTCTTTTCATTTCTCCTGTGTAACATTCATAAGCAAGGTATAATAGAATAGATTTGTCAGAGGTCTACAAACTGAGATTCATCGTGAAAAAGTTCCTTGCTCTGTGGCATGTAACTCATGGTGGAGCCTTTGCAGCTTATTAGGATATACGGAAAAATGCATTGTATTTGGAGAATTCATTTTTCCTAAGTTGCAGTCTAACGCAGTATTTCTCCATCAGATTATCCCAGCCCACATTCACTGATGCTCTCTGAAAAAACAGTGAGTAATATGACTCATGGGACTAGCTGCGATGACTCTGGGAATGTATTTCCCATTAATTTACAATTGAAATGCATAAGTGGTCACAAATGACCACAAACATTCCCTCAAGTCTTATATTTTAATTACAAGGATAAATGATTGCAAGTATTTTCATCTTCCTTTAATTTATTTTAAGTTAATTTCCAGTGTGAGAGCCAGAAGTCCTAAGAGAAGAAGGAACTGTAGACGGGAGCTTTTGCTGATGATGAGAGATACCAGATCTGTAAGAAAAGTGTCCACAATCCACTTGAGAAGTTTGTAATAAGCTCCATTTGAACAGAATGGATTGTCTTTCAGTCACACTTTGTATCCCAAAACAAAGCACACATTTTGACATATGCACGGACAAAAAAACTGTTTCAAATGCAAATATGTGATAACCAAAACCGACTTGGACTGAAGTGCCATTTTGGACTAAAGAATCCTGAATCTACACAGACAGTCTGAATCTACACAGACAGGCAAAGAAATGCAGCAGTGAAGAAGTCGTCTAAAAATTACCAGAGCTCTGTATTTCTAGCAACTTGCCAAGACCTCCAGTGGAAAAAAAAAAAACCAACAGAAGGGCATCTTGATCCGTTCCCCACAAAGCCCCTACTGAGGATGGTCATCAGCACCTCACCGCGCCAAGCTCACCATCCATACGGAGTCATTTTGGCATTCCTCCAGTCTGGTAGAAGTCAAAACAGTCGCTCTCAAGGTATGACTGACAGGAAAAACACCCCATCTCTTCCACTAATATTTTCTTATTGTATGAAATTTCGCGAGTATCAACTTGACTTCTTATTCAATTTTGTAGAGGTTTTTGTTTCTCTAAGAATTATTACTCTGAAACACCAGAAACCAAAATCAGCAAAAAGAGGAACTAAAGGAAAGGATTTGCCAAGGTTCATACACCACCCCACCAGCATCTGTCACTGCTGACAGGTAAGGGCTACTTCTGAACCTAGGTGAACACATTACTTCATCCTCTTTATCCAATCAGTCTTCAAATTGCATTCCAGAATCTGCCAGCAGGGCTGCCAAATAGTGCCAATCATGGCAGGCTTTTCTGTGATCTGGACACCTTTTCAAGAGAAATCGGATGGAGTCTATCAATCTACTTTACATCTGCCCCTAAAGAACTTTTACCAGGAATAGCCAGGTTGAAATAGTAATCCATATATATGAAAAATGCATTCCCCTGCTCTAAAACAAACTGTATTGTGGAATTCACAGTTGAAAAGCCCAAGAGTACTTCAAGTAATTCCAACAAAGTGCCAAGAGAAAAGATAATTTGTTCAACAATGCTACAATTATTTCATTCCTCAAAAGTAAGTGATTAACTATTATGTTAATTTGAATAAATACTAAGAAAGTATTAAAGCAATATTACAAGGGAAATCAACAACATTACAACTAATTATTACAACTCCTACAAAAATACTTCGTAGGAAAACTCTGTGCTGCATACAGTGTTTAGAAAGCAATTATGCAGCAGTTGCTGCTATGATTCTGGCACTTTTAATCAGTTGTGACCCTATGCATGCTCATTATTTCAGTGCATGCCATTAAAATTCAAATTATTTCAAAACAGCATTAGAAATAATTCAGTATTTCCTGTTTTAGTGTGAAACAAATATATATGATTAAATGTTAATAAGGAAGGTCATTCTAGTTCAGAAAAAAAAACAACACATGACAATGTATAGTAAAAACATACCTGAATCTGCTGTCACCATTTCTCTGGTCCTTTTCCAATACACGTGTTTGGATAAGGCACTGAAACTGCCATCCTGAATTCCCTCATAACCTCACCAGGAGCTTTGGCTGCAAGAGATATCAAACATCAGACTGAAGGCTGGGAGAATTCAAAAGCCAAATGCCCAGAAGCCATGGCAGGTAACCAGTTTGAATAGAAAGGCTCTTGTTTTATTATGCACACATATTAATATGATTCTTTGGATCCTGAAGTACTTCAATCATCTTTCAAGGGTTTCAAAAACTTCATAATACATCCCTTTTATAAGATTATGAACTTTTGCAAGTGGGTTCAAGAAGTAGTGTTTCAAAGGCTAAAAGGCAGATGAAGCATATGTTCCAAATCTCTTTGAAAGTATTTTAAAATCAGAGGCTTTGCCAGCACACACCGCCACATCCAAAGCAGAGCTAAAAGGCACTGAGTGCTACTATCTTCTCTTTCTTACTCTTCTCCTCTCTCTCCCTGGCACGGCTACTGTTTTATCAAAAAACAAGTAATAAGTCCTTCAGTTAAATAAAATTAAATTTCGGCTAAAAACAAACAACCCCACACATAATAAAGACTCAGTTACTTTTACATGGTTTACTAAGCAACAATAAGACAACGATAAACACACACAGATGGCGGTTGAGCCTCCTTGGCAGTTTTGTGATGACCCATTCTGAGGTCTCATTTCCTTCATTTGAAGTGTTCTCAATTTACTGTATTTCTACCACAGAAAGCTATTCATAAGTAGTTCAGAATCTCCTTCATGTTTCCCTGCAGCAGTCTGCCTGCTGATCACAACTGCTCCTGTCACTCTCAACACATTTCTGAGTTGCCCTGTTATACTTTTGATACTGAGTTCTTAAATAAAAATAGTGAAAGCAATACACATAAATCCACTGTTCCAAACTTTGATGAACTGGTGTTTCCCTTTAAGGTATGTGATTTTCATAATGAACATCATCCCAAATATCATTGCAGAAGTACGCTGCATATCAAACACTATCCACTTTTCTTTTTTCAGTTACATCCTCTTACAGTCTCATAAAGCAGAAGTCAACAAACACCTGGATTTATTGAAGGTTTACAATAATGAGCTGCAAAGTTGTTTGTATAAATTCCTTTTTTTTTAGAGCCATAAGTAGGTGACTATCTACCACTTCTGCCCATCCATATTCGTGCAATTAGGATTTATTTTTTTTAATTGGCTACATTGTACATCCTCACTTGTTATAGACCCATAGCTCTATTTCAGACCCATGGGAGTATAAACAAATTTGCTTACCAGATATTTGATTTTAAATAAATCAGCTCATTGTAGGAGGAGCAAAATTACACCTCCAGTTAATTTGTAGCCATAGTAGGTACTTTATTTTGAAATTTTTACCTTTTCTTTATGAGAGCCTTCTAAACCACAGCAACCAAACCTCACCCCACGCACCAAGGTCAGGAAGCACCTGCTATCTGCACTGCTGGCAGTCAGAAGCCCAGCCAGGCATGAGCAAAGCACACAGTGCAAGTGTTACACTGCTGTTATCCTGATGACCGGAAGGCAAATAACAACGCTCACATAAACTCATTGCTTTTGTATTCTTTTTTTTTTTTTTTTTTTTTTTTTACTTTTAATGCACTTTTTCCCCCATGAATGTGAAGTGACAGACTGCTAACCTTGTGGATAATTGCGCCGTACGATCATAACATGTTTTAACAGCAATTGTCAGATGTTAATCTGTCACTGTTATATATTGCTACAATAAAGAAATCCCAACTTATTTCATCACTTTAACACCTATAAACTATTGAAGTGGAATATTCTACACAGTCACCACATATGCTACTTCTTTAAGATACACATGTGAAAAGTCTAACTCAAGATTGTTCAGGGCACTTATTTCAAACTATATGTATCTTTACACTTTTCAATTTAGCTTCGCAACTGTGGATATCATTAACAGCTGAAGTTCAATTCTGAGTTCACTTAAGACAAAGTGAAGAAACACAACTGCTGTTCTCATGTGGCACTCACAGCCAGGAGGGGAATCGAGGTGATGCAGTCAGTAATTCCGGGGTCTCACAGTCTGTGCAAAGCTAATCCAGGATGAGAACTGAACTTACCCTTACTAATGTTTCCTATCCATCAGCCCACAGCCAGATCAAATCTTTAATCAGAGCTCATTGTTAACTCAGTAAAATCATGTCACGATTAACTTTCAGAATAGCTTCATTGGGAAAGAATAATTCAGAAATTCAGAAATAAAGTGTTTGAGAAAACTAAAAATTAGTCCCAATATTTTTATTTACACCACTTGATCCCCATTTTAGATATTTTTATGCTTTGCCAAGTATTTGTACTGCATGTTACAAAGAAAATTATTTATAAAATAGTTTGAAATTTTCCTACATTAAAGTAAAATCACCAAGTGGCAGATTTTAAACTAACGCATAGTGGAGTGCATGGTCATTAGCAATGTTCACCCAACCCATAAGGAGCAGAGGAACATGTTAGCGGCTGGGCGCTCCGTTTTTCCTTACCCACATTAAGGAAAAAAAAAAAACCAACTACCTACATGCAGAGCACCAAAGCAAAACACGGCAAGTATTTATGGGATTGCACCAGACGGCTGACTCTAGAAACCTGATAAGGGCACTTTATCAGAAGAACCAGTAAGGCTGGAAAGGACCGCAGGGATCCCTCAGCACCTCCCGGCACGGCTCACAGCCACAGCTCGTCCTACCGCTGCTACCTGCGAGCAGAGGCCACCCGACTCAGCACAGCCTCCTTTCAGGCACTTGTAGGCAGTGAAAGTAGCCTCACCTCCTACAGATCTAACGATCCCCTCCAGAGCCTCGCCGCGTCCTCTCGGGACGCTCCAGTTCTGGACGACGCTCCGCTCGCGGCAGTGCGGGGCGCAGGGCTGAGCGCGGCGCCGAGTGCCACCACCGGGATGGCCTGGGCCTGGTTGGTCACCTGGGCACGCTGCCGGCTCACGTTCAGCAGGAAAACAACCAAGCACTGGGGAACGTAGTGGGAGTTCACAGCCCTTACACGGAACAGAGGTTCGGAGCACGTGGCGCTCGGCAGGCAGGGAGGCGGGCAGGGCCGGCCCACCATCACCCCACTGAGCCTGCAGTGCTTCCTGCCAGAGACCCAGAAAGTTCTGTGTCTTTAACGAAGGTCGGAGACAAGTTTCTCTGTCCTTCACCCACCTGAATTCTGGGGTGCTCCTGAGGAGTTCCCTTAATTTACAGCCGACCGGGAAGCGGCTCTGAAGTCCCTCAGCACTACGGAGCCCTTCCCGAGCCATGCCGAGCGGCCGGGCACGCGCTGAGGTGCGGCTCCGTGCGCGGGAACGCGGGCCGGGCTTCAGTCCGCCTTTGTTGTTTAAGGAACGTAAGTAAGTAGTAACTAAACATAAATAATTCGTATTACAAACTCGAACGACTCCCAGGTCTCACATCTGCAGTCAGTACAGCGACCTCATTGTAAGAGAAAGCAAGGGGCTCGGCTCACCTCACTGGGAGCGCCCGGGTTGGTTTGAGGACAGCTGAGTGCCCGCCCCACCTCATTTTCCACACCGGCGGCTCCTGCCTGGGCAGAGCAGGGCAGGACGCGGGGCACCGGCACCGGCATCGGCACCGGCACCGCCGCTCCGCGTGAGGGGGCCGTGCTCCAGGCGGGAGGACCGCGCGCTCCGCCCGGCAGAGGGCGCCGCCGCGCGCCGCTCGCCTTGCAGCTCCGGGCGCGGGCGCTCGGCTCGCGCGCAGGCGCTGCCGCAACGGTCGCGGGGCGGCGATGGCGGCGCTGCTGGAGCACGAGAGCCAGATCTTCCTGGACCTGTTCCATCAGGACGGGCTCGTGGTCTGCGCCCGCGGGCTCGGCATCGATCGCTTGCTGCTGCGCTTCCTCCGCCTTTACTGCGAGCCCGCCAGCCTGGTGCTGGTGCTGAACACGAGCGCCGCCGAGGAGGTAAGCGCGACTCCGTGCGTTCCGCAGGGAGCAGGGCGGGCCGGAACCGGCAGGGGCTGCGGACTTCGAGCTGAAGTTCGGCGCCGTGGCCGCCCTGCCGTAGCTGCCTTTGGCAGCGGCGCTCCCTTCCCTATTCTTACCGCCTGTAAGGCGGTATTAAAATCGCCCGTGCTCTTCAGAAGAGCTGTAAGTACCGTAATGACGCAGGGGAGAACTGGCTGCCAAAAGTTCCAGAGCGCCGACGTGCCGCGGGTCGCATTTACGGCCCGTGTGTCTGCTACTGCGAATGTGCGGGGCTGTCACCACAAGGCTGGTGCTTAACCGCTACAAGAAACGGAATCACAGCTCTCTGTGGGTAGCATCTCACGCTGCCGTGTTTTCAATTGGTTTGGGGCCGTTTTTCCAAATAAATGGAACGCGTGTAATTGAGATTCTCTTCACATCTGTAATGAAGTTCTGTGTTCTCACCGTGCCTGCTGTAGGAGTACTTCATTGACCAGCTGCGGTCGGATGGAGTTGTGCACCTTCCTCGGCGCGTCACCAACGAGATCCCCAGCAGTGCCCGCTATGAGTTCTACACGCAAGGGGGGGTTCTCTTTGCAACCAGCAGAATCCTCGTGGTCGACTTCCTTACCGACAGAATTCCTGCAAACCTCATCACTGGTGAGAGCTTACTGAAATAAATGGATGACTGTTCTGTTGAAAAATACATAAAGCTTAACTCTGTATAGAGTCCTATTAATGGTGTTCAGGTTAAAGAATTATTTCTTTGAGAAGGCTTAGGTGAAAGGCACAAATATGTAGTTCCTTCCTTTTTTCTTTTAATGGTCGTCACAGAATCACAGGGGCTGGAGGAGATTTCAAGAGATCATGGAGTCCAATCCCCTGCTAAAGCAGATCCTTGCAAGAGGTCACACTTGTTTGCTTTGTTTAATCACACAACACTCACATTCCTTTTAGATAGTGGATAATGCATCCGTATGGATTTTTATATCAGTAACCACTTGGAAAACAATCACTGGTTAAATTGCCATTGATGTAAGAAACAGAAGCATTCACACTGCCTGCATTGCTTCCCAAGTAGAAAAATTGTCTGCGCCTGGTGAAATAGCATCTAGAATACTCTCAGAACACAGCCTGTGATTGAAACTGATTGCTAGTGTGTGTGGTTGATAAGCATGCAGTTTTTTGCTTCAATGAATTCCTCATGACAACTTTTCCCATCAAGTGAAATAACAGTACCTAACTAATGTTCCTCTTGTAACACCTTACATGCTTTCTATTATTAAATAACAATGTTCTAAAGATTTTTAGAAATACCTTGAGACCTCCTGTTGTTGTATAGAACTTGTGCATGCTTGTTTTCCCATATTCTGTTCCCTTTCTTTCCCTGCTTGTCTTTATATCCTTGTGTAAGGTGGAAGCCCTCTTAAAGCCCACAGAGCTAGTAAAACAGATATTAAGAGCCAGGTATACAGGAATATTTCAGTGTTATTGAATGTTAACATTTTAATAATGGCTGAATGTGACTGAGTATTGAATGCTAATGTGTGTGCAAGTTTTTGCTTCAGAAATTCTCATTTAGTCAGTGTATGAGATGTTCTAATCTGTGAAACTTTTTAAACAGTTTTCATGCTACAGCCAGAGGACACCACGTTCTGTTCTGTTATTTCTAGGTTTAAAAAAAAAAGTAAAGTTTTGAGACACCCTACTTTGGGTTCTGTGTGGATGAAAAGAAGAAACACATTAGAGACTTAAAAAATCAAGAGCCTCCTGACCTGAAATGACCTGTGGATGCCCCGTCCCTGGAGGTGTTCAAGGCCAGGTTGGATGAGGCTCTGGGCAGCCTGGTCTAAAATTAAATGTGGAGGTTGGTGGCCCTGCATCTAGCAGGGGGGTTGGAGATTCGTGATCCTTGAGGTCCCTTCCAACCCTGGCCATTCTGTGGCCTAGAGTTGTCGCACTCCCCGTAGTGCCACCAGAGGTCAGTGTGACAGCAGCTTTAGCTGAAACGTGCTTCTGTCAGAAATAATATAATGTTATGTTATATAATTTGATATTATATAATAATATAGTGTTTATTATATTATTATGTTTATTAATGGAAGCTGTAGTCTTGGGTTGCTGTAAGTCTTGGGTTTAACAAGTCTTGGCTGAGTGAAATATAAATCCCAAAAGTGTTTGCCTGAAAGGCTTAAGGCAGTTTCACTATCATTTCATTTCTCTGTGCTAAAATGCATATGATAGTTATTTCCCAATGCTCATAGCCCTAAATAAAGTTGCTGGCATAGCCGTTGAATAGGAAATCCTTTCTGTCCACAATTGTGAATATCAATATCAGAAGGATGGGAAATAGCACAGAAAATGTTTTCAAAAGTTCTTTGAGAATAGTTCAAGTTTTTTGATAATCAAAGAAACATATTCAACAAGTCTATGATTACAGAACTTCTGTAATAAAAGAGTTCAGATATCAAATTTGCTCTGTGGTGATACTGCGTTACATCTTGCATTCAGTCTTCCTCCCTTTGAAAGTCCCAAGTCCAAGTTTTGTTTGAAGAATGAAGCACTGTGGAAGCTACTGAGTCCTGCCACTTGAGCACAGGATTTTTTTGCTAAGGATCATCATTAACCCAGCTCTGTAACTGGGAGGCTCTGTGGTACTGAAAACGAGGAGTTGCGAGGTTTCAGGAGAGGGACTGACTTTTTTATGCGGGCGAGCAGCGATAGGACAAAGGGGAACAGCTTTAAACTGAAAGAGGAGAGATTGTGGTTACATGTCAGCGGGAAGTTTTCAGTCAGAGGGTGGTGAGCTGCTGGCACAGGCTGCCCAAAGAAGCTATGGATCCCCAGCCCTGGAGGTGTTTGAGGCCAGGTGGGATGGGCCCTGGGCAGCCTGAGCTGGTGGAGGGCAGAACTGCCCATGGCCAGGGGGCTGCAGTTTGATGATCTTTGAGGTCATTTCTAACCCAGGCTATTTTATGAACTCCTGTACGTTTGTTTGACATCATTTTAGAAGACTGAAATTGTACTTTAACACAAGCAGAACAGTAAGACAAACTTGAGGAAAATATATAATTTTTTCAGTCTTTCTTTACTATTTTTTAACTTGAACACCATTTATTTTCCCAGGTGTCTTGGTATACAAAGCACATAGAATCATTGAATCTTGTCAGGAATCATTTATACTGCGACTTTATCGCCAAAAAAACAAGGAAGGCTTCATTAAAGCTTTTACAGATAATGCGGTTGCATTTAACACTGGTTTTTGCCAAGTGGAAAGAGTGATGAGAAACCTTTTTGTCAGGAAACTTTACCAAGTTTGGCCAAGGTAAGGTACCTCTTTACTACACTGAACCTAAAATTACTGTGATTGCTACCATGGACTTTTAACAGAATGAATTTTATGTAGTCACACTGCTGATCTGTATTTGTATTCACAAGCTCATTTCACTCATTTATTGGCAGAAGTTGTATTAAAGATGCTAAATTTCTCAAGGTATTTTTGAGAATAGACTCAAGTTAAATCTATAAGAAGCAGAACCTTGCAGTATAACCATCCTTCTAGCCAGTAGAAATCATAGTAGATAGTGATATTTATAATAGTTTAAGAAAAGTGTAATTTGTTGAAGGCCGTCTTGAAGCCATGAAGTAACAGGAATACTGTCTTGCAGTGCTGCCATGCACGGGAGGATTTGTTTCCAATCATGAAGAAGCTCCATGATTATCTCTGTGTTTTATTGGTTTGTGTTTGATCAGTTGTTGGTTGGTTTTTTTTGTAATCTTCCTCTATACGTATGTAATCTACGAGGAAGATTTCTAGATAACTGCTAGAAATTAAGTTGCCAAGCCTGTGGCATGCATTTCAGGAGCAGTAGCGCAGACACAGTTGGTCAGTTCAGCTGATCAGCCATCAGTGCCTTGGGCAGGGGGTGTGCATAACTGCTCCTTCTGTCCAGTATAGAATGTGTTTCACACCATCTCGTGTTCTCATGCTCTGCACTGTAAACTCAGAATTTTAAGTTTTCCTTTTAGCATTACAGAGACATAGAAATGGACATAGCCAGGGTAGGAAAGGTTGAACACAAACTCTGAATTTTCTTCCTTGGCTTCTGAGCTATGGAGAGACCTGAGGGCAGTAGTGTTCTTCTCTGTAGTTTTCTGTTAAAATCAGCTAGCACCCCCATAGCAATGGCTTCATTGTTACAACACAGCCCCTATAGCCAAGGGCCTGCTGCTTATTATTCGAAGCTAAGGATATCACAGTGTTTGCCAGCGGATCCATGTGAGTCCAAAGGGTTTATTACAGTTTATTATTTATTTATTACAGTTTGCTCTTTACGACATCTTTTGTTTTTACTTTAGGATTTGTTACCTGCAGTAATGATGTGGAATCTAGTGCAGTAATTCTCTGGGGATCAGTCACCAGTGCTGTGGGCTCATATGATGAGGATGAAAACAAGTCGTAGTTGGGGAATCGTCAGGTGGTTTATGAGACTATT